TAATCTTGCCTATTTTTGAAGCAACAGCACGCCATATTCATTATATAGTCTTTCCTCATTCTTAAAAAAATTTTTCTTGGGTATCCTTTTTTGAGATCAGTTTTAGAAATAACTTGACAAATTCCATAAAAATGATATCCTATTAGAATTTTAATGGGAATATATTAATTCATAATTTGTGTAAATTATATTTTTATTTTTAGTCTTCCCAACCCCAAACATATTATATATTTTCTTTCATTTGGGTATTCTTTTATGTCCTTTAGTTAATTCAACTGATTGCATTAAGATACATTAAATATATAATTGATACAAACAAATTAATTTATGTTGTTCATTTGCAGCTAGTAAATTTTTTCTTGGTCTATTCCTAAGTATATTAGTTTTTGTAGCTGTTGTGAATGACTTCATTTTTACTATATTTTCTAATTGGATATTATTGGGATATATAATAACTTCTGAATATATATATATTTTCTAAGTATTACTTACAGAAACTTTCCTACCGGTTTACTAACACAGTTAAGCAGAGATCTATAAACAAGAGTGTACAGTGTAGCATAGTAAGAGCAAATCATTGGAAATAGCCTAAATATTTATCGATATGGGACTGATTTATGTATATAGTACATCTATATAATGAAATACTATGCAGCTGTAAAAGGAATGAAGTATATCTATATATTCTGAAATGGAAAGTTCTGTAAGATACATTGAAAGTATATTGTTATATAAGGAAGCAACATGTAGAACAGTGTGTAAATGCTACATTTGTGTTTTTATATTCTTGTGCATGCATAAATATTTCTAAAACACACTAAATTGGTAATACTCATGCTTCCTGAGGAGGAGACTGGAAAATTGGTATGTGTAAGCAACAATGATGTGTTCATGCCCATTTTCTCTTCCAGGGAGCATGGGAAGGCTACATTTCCTAACCTTCCTAGTAGATGTGATCCCACCAATGAGGGTGTGGGCAGAAGAATGTGTCACTTCAGGTCCATGGCAATTAAGTGTCAGTGTGAACGTTTTTCCCCACTCTTTCCCTCCCCCCATGCCCCAACCTGTATCCCATCCAAAAAGTTGGGATTAAAGAACTGCAGTGATGGAGATGCTAGGTGGAAGCAGCTTGGATCTGAGCCTCTGTTGGAGAACAGTACACCAACATGGTCTACCTGACATTGGGATGTAGGGGAGACATAAACTTTTGTGTTTTAAGCCACTGACATTTGAAGGTTTATTTGGTACCACATGTAGTGGGTTAAAGATGGCCAGAAACTCTTTGACACTCCTTTCATTGAATGCTGAGGTCTATATCCTTGAATCTGGACTGGACTGGGACTGCCCTGACCAACAACGCAGAGGAAGTGATGCTGTACTAACATCTGGGCTCAAGTCTTAGGAGACCAGCAGCTTTCTTCCTGTCTGTTGGAATGCTTGTTTTGGGATGCTTTCTCTCTGAATCTAGCCACATGGCTAGAGACCTAAGCCATGTGAAGGGACCACAGGTAGGTGCTTTCGTTTTCAGCTCTAATCCACCTTCCAGCCAACAGCCAGCATCTCCTGCCAGCCAACTGACTGAGGCATTATTAGCCACCAGCCCAGCTGAGTCTTAATATAACTCCAGGCCTGGTTGTGACTACAACCATGTGAGACTCAAAGCAAAAATCACCTGAGCTCAGCCAACACTCAGAATCATGAGAGCTATTAAGAAATAGTTGTATTGAGTAGTAGATAACCAAAAGATCACTGACCAGCCTGTCCTATGCTAACCAACATGAAGGTGTGAAGCAAAGAGGCTCACTCTTATACTCTTTGAATTTTTGGCTAAGTGCGTGTGATTTCTTTTTCAATTAAAAATACTTACAGTTTTTGGGGGAGGGTATAGCTCAGTGGTAGAGTGTGTACTTAGCACGCACAAGGTCCTGGGTTCAATCTCCAGTACCTCCATTAAAAAAATTAATAAAATAAAAAGTAATAAATCTAGTTACCTACACCTCCCCAAAATTAAAAAATAAAAAGTTACAGCTTTGAATTTAAAACTTCTAAGCACTAGGTCATGAGAACTGTTTTTGTATATTTTGTATATTTTTGATATCACAGCAATAAATATGTACTGATCATCTAGTCAGCTGATGCTTCAAGACAGAGGTGGGATCAAGGCTGACTTGATCCCAGCTCTCCTGAAGCTTTCAGCCTGGTAGGAGAGAGAGGTCACAAACAACTGAACAGACACAGAAACAGGATCCTTTCTGAGAGTGATAAGTGCTCTGAAAGGAAGAACAACTAGATGATTTGTAGACATTGACTGGGATGGGGCTATTTCAGACTGGGTGAACAGGGAAGGTCTTCTGAATCTGACTGGTAGGCAGGAGCCAGTCCCTAATAGTTCAGGAGGAAGAACACTAGGAGTAGGGGACAACCAGGGCAAAGGTTCCACAGTGGGACTGAATATGGCAGTGATTTCAGGGTTATGAATAGGGCTTTATTCAAAGAGTAGAGAGAGGCAAGGTCAGCAATGTGGGCAGGAGCTAGACCATGCAGGGCTTTGAAGACCACAGAAAGGGTTTCAGGATTTGCTCTGAATGTGCTGAAAAGCCTTAGGAGGGTTTTGAGTAGACTAACACGAGCTGATTGAGGTTTTTAAACAATCACTCTGGCTGCTGGGAGATGCTTAACCCAGGTGCAAGTTTCAAACTATATTCTAAAGTACATTAGGTCTCTAAATCATGATATTATCACTTATATATTTACTGGTCATTGAATCATGGTTTTCTAACATAATTAAAGATAATTTAAATAGCATGTTAAATGTGAAATGTAGAAATTTATCTTCATATATTATGAATATTATCTACAATTTTAAGTCAATTTTATAATACAACCTTTCCTATTCTAAAAATAAAAGATAAATATTTTTAGTCAAAATCAATAACTTCTTTATCATATACTATTCAAAAACGACAAAATTATTTTAAATTTCCTAGGAGTGCTTTGTGAGTCAAAAAAGGGTTAGGAACGCCTGACTCCAATATGATTCTCCAACTGAGAGAAATAGCACCTCTGTATCTCACAGCTTGGCAGAACCCTGATAATATACCCTTCGATGAACACAGATCCAGCTCCGTTGATAGTGTCCCTAGGCACCTGCAAGTTAGCCAGTCCTAAAGGGAATTCATCATTGTCACCAACTGGCCCTGAGCCTCCATGGGTATCATGCCCCTCTCCTGGGCACTTCTAGTTAACATTAACACCCACCACCCGTTTCTTCAATAGATAGGCTAGTGTTGGACTGGGGCTGAGGTCAGAGAAGGCTTAACTCAGTGCAGGGGCAGGAAAGATTTCCTGGAGGAATGACCCATGAGTAGGAGCCAGGCCCACTAGAAGATGTTCTAAACAGCAGGCATAGCATGTGTAGAGGAAATGAGGGTCAAAGCCAATGGCATAGGAGGTACTGAGCCAAGTTCACTGTGGTTTCAAAGCAGAGCAGGGGACACTCTCCTGAAGTGTCACCGGCATTTACAACTTATCAAGTCATGACTATCCCCATCAGCATTTCAAGAGATCTGTCACCTCCACTGCCTGCTTGGCTCCAGTGACTCCCTCCTTTCATTTTTCACACCAGCCTGTCTGCAGGGCTCCGGACAGGGGCGCTGCTGGAGACAGTTTCATCACAGTTCCCTGCAAACCCATGATTCACTGTCAAGTATACCTGCAAGAGACGCTGCTGCTCCTCCAGAGGCCGCCCAAATAGAGTCATCGGTTGAGCCCTGAGTCAGGATACTGGGTTGCTGGCCAGCTCGGCCATCCAGTCCTGTGAAATCCGGGACAACCTTCTTCTCCCCTCTGGGCCAGGGGTTGCTAGATGTATCCGCTGCATCCCTTTACTCTCAGGGTCCTAAATTTTCTGCGACGAACTGGACCCCTAAACCTTTCTTCCCACAAGGGCGGTCCTGCCTCTTGTTCTTGCAGGCTCAAATCTGCTGGAAGTTTTTGAACTGCATTTCTTCTTCCCGCTGCCTGGAATCCTCTTTTCTCTCCTCCTGGCCAATTCCTATAGCATCCCTCACGACCCAACCCACCACTTCCGCAAAGCAGGGCCTCCTCCCTTCAGTCCCTTTCTCCTCCGTGCTTTCTTATCTCTCTGTCATATGTTGTCTGCCTTGTGTCTGTGTTGCCTCCCGTCACAGAGCTTGAGCACCTCGAGGGCAGGGTCCGGGTGTGAAGGGGTCTTCAGGTACCCAGCTTAGAACGCAGCCATGTCCAGAGCGCCAGTTACTGTTGATTTCGGTCCGGGCGCCGTGGGGTTAAGGAACACTGGCCCCGGAGGCCCCGCCTGCGGAGCGCACCAACAGGCGTGGGCGAAACCGCCCTATCCTCTCCGATCCTGATCCCCGATCACTGTCCCGACAGCGACAGGAGACCCCACTCAGGGGAGACTTTTCTGTGGGGTCCGGGTGGTCCGACTCTGGGGGCGGCTTCCCTCCAGGTTTTCGGGTTCCGTTCTCCCCTCAAGAACCCGCTTAGAACAATCCGGGGATTCCCCGCCGCTGCCCGCCCCTGACGTCACGG